ATGGTCGAAATGTCCCAACGATGATCCGTGTCGACGACGCACTCGTCAGCAGAGTCGAGCTCTTTTTGTACTACATCCTCATGCATGCCGTCGAGCGAAGTCGTCGTAAACATCGTTAGACCTTCGCGGAAGCAGAGCGGCTTCTCAATCTTTCGACCATAACAAGAAACCCGAACTGTTTCGTCTGCAGGTCCTTCTTCTGCAGGTTGCTCCTCTGCGGCAATTTCTTCTAAATCAGGCATCTCTTCTTCAACATTTTCGTCTGCAGGCAGCTCGTCTGCAGATCGATCTTCTGTCGATCGCTCTTCTGCGGATCGCTCTTCTGCGGATTTTTCGTCTGCAGGCTGTTCGACTTCTCGACGCTCATTGGCGACGACATTCATTGGCAATTTTCTCCCCTCTTCGCCAAGGAGCGTCGACAATGGCACCAATTTTTCAGTCGAAGGAAAGAACGTCGAAGAAGAGGCAGTCGACAGCTGCTCCCCTGTCGAAGAAGAGTCAGAGCGAATGTCTTCTGCAGAAGGAACCTGCTCCTCGGAAGGAGCGTCATCTGCAGGAGAAGTGTCGTCTGCAGAAGGAGTCTCTGGCAACGGCGAGAGTTGCACTGGAGGGGTGTCAGGAGGCAGCTGCGGTCGAGGAATCGGCGTAGGCACGAGCAGAGGGGCTGGTGCCCTAGTCTCTTCGTCATCATCGTCGTCATCATCCGCAGAATCCGACGGGAAGGATGCCACATTGTCGAGCGCAGCACGGTCGACGGTGGGACTCTGCTTCGTCGCCTTCCATTCTGCAAGAGACATTGTCTCGTAGAAGATGGCCTCGACCGTGGTGATCAAACGGTTGCTCGACAAATCGAGGACCAACCACCCCTTACTCTGCTGCGAGACACCCAGGTGGAGACCCCAACGAGCTTTCGGCTTCAACTTCCCCCCCCGCTGACTCTCTGGAATGAGGTACTGCAGCATACACCCCCAAACTCTAGCCATCCCAAGGTCAGGCTTCTTGTCGAAGAGCACTTCATAAGGAGTTACCCCTGATGGTAGAGAGGAATGTTCGAGATGATTCCTCACCCAAACAGCTTGCAGAGCTGCAAGGTGCCACCAATGGTGGGGAGCTCCCATGTGCAGAAGCATCGTCCTAACTGTTTCGACGACAGTCCGCATTTCACGTTCCGCCATCCCGTTCTGCTGCGGCGTATAGGGGCAGGTGAGGTCGTGCTCAATCCCCTTCTCTTCGAGGAACTTGGTGAATTTACTTCCCAAAAATTCGCCACCTCGATCGGAGCGGAGAGCCTTCAGCGAAGCCTCACATTGCCTCTCTGCACGCGGAAGCCACTTCTGGAAAACGCGCAGAGCATCGCTTTTCTCCGCAATCGGGTAGAGCCAGACGTAGCGAGATTTTTGATCCTTGAGCAGAAGAAAGTAGCGGTTGCCATCTTTCGCAGGAACTCGGAAGGGACCGCAGAGATCGATGTGCACTACTCCCAGCACCTTCTGCTCATCACTCCCCTCTTGAGGGAAACTATGCCGAATATGCTTTCCCCCCACACAAGAAACACACGGTAGATCAGTGTTGGCCGACTTGTCAATATCCAAGCCTGTCGCTGCACCATGCGTCGCCGTCTGCTTGATTGTTTCGACGCCCGCATGAGCCAGTCGAGGATGCCACACGACCATCTTCGCCCGTGTATCCGTCGCCAATGTCCGAAGAGCAATCGCCTCCTCTGCCGATTTCTGCAGCGGCCACACCTGGAGATCTGTGCTGAGCACTCGTCCTCGATAACGAGCGCGTCCAAGGACTGTCCCATCAGTAGAGAGAAGGAGAGTCTCTTCACCTTCATCCTTCAGCTTTACTCCACAATCCTTCAGCTGCCCAGCAGACAACAGATTCGCATGGATTCCAGGCACGTAGAGCACATCAGGAATCAGAATCTGCTTCCCAGCATCACCGCGTAGAGCGATTGTTCCGCGACCACACACGTCTTGGAATGCCCCGTTGAATCCGCGAACATGTTTAATGTCGCCACCTTCATGCATTTCGACAAAGGCTGCATCGTCACCCATCAGATGATGTGAGCAGCCACTGTCGAGAAGAACAACTGCAGGATCGGCCTTGACGGCTGCAGCTATCGCCTGAAAATCCTCACCATCTTCCGCGTTCAGCGAAATGAGCAGATCAGTCGTCTGCAGCTGGTCCACAACTGGTCCCACCATTGAACAAGAAGGTCCCTTTTTGTTGGTCGAATTGGAGTTGTCGCTCTGCGCTCCAGTCTTCGAAGAACTCTCCTTCTGCACGGAAGCATTGTTCTTCTTGTCAGCACGTTGTTCGCACTGGAACGCAAAGTGTCCGACTTCTCCGCAGACCCAGCAAGGTTTCTTCGGGCTCCGTTTGTTGTTCTGCTGTCGACCATCTTTCTTCTGCTGCTCCTTGTTCGACGACTTCTGCTCCGTAGAACTGCCAGTTGTCGAAGAAGACCAACGCTTCTGCTGCTGCTGCTGCTGCTGCTGTCCCGTCGACGCCCAGTTGACCTGTGGCAGAGGAGATTCCTTCCGCTTTTCGAGCTCGAGCGTGCACTCCTCCACGATAATTCTGCTCGTCAAAGTGTTTTCGTCGAGAGTCTTGCAGTTTTCCGGAGATTGTAGCGTTCGTCGAAGGTACTTGTACTCCGCGGGAAGACCTGTAAGGACATGAGTCACATACGAAGCCATCGAATAGTTGACGCCAGCCATTCGCAGATTAGCGAGAATCATCTGCGCACGATTGCAGTAGGTCGTCGCCGTCTCATGCTCCGCCATCTCTAGCGTCGCCAAGCTCCTCTCCAGCTGGCCGATATAGAGATAGTCCGTTGCTTTGTAGGTCTCCATGATGAAGCGCCATGCCTGGTAGCCCGCGTCCACTCGTAGACGACATGAATTCAAGGCGATCTTCACGGATGGAGAGCAGCAGCGCGATATCACCATAAAGGTCAGCAGTTGCGCCGAGCGGAATTGTGTGTACTGCGAAATGTCGCTCAGCCGTGGAACCTTGATCGAGCCGTCGATGAACTGCTTCAGCTGCGCGATTTCAAGTTGAGGCTCGATGGACTTCCTCCACACGGGTAAGTCATGACGTCCTTCCAGAGGCTTCGGCACCGTGATCTTGTCGGGAGAAAATTTGAAGTATCCGTAATCAGGAGCAATTCCGCCGTCTTTAGATGCCGATGGATGAGAAACCGCCGAGCTTCCACCAGTCTTCACTGCAGAGCCTCGACCGCTCAAGCGTTCTTTGCCAGCCGCCTTCTTCGGACTTGCATCCGCCTTCTGCTGCGAGCCTTCTCCAGGGCTCATCGGTTCTCCTTGTCCTAGAACACCTCGTGGCTCCTGCATTCCGCCTTCCGCCGGTTCTTCAGCGTCCTCGTCGTCTCCAGAAGTCTGCGATTCCTCGTCTCCCTCTGCACGAGTCGGTGGATGTTCCATCTCCCATTGAGCTCGTACTCCCAACAGCATGAAGTTGAGCTCCTGCTCGGTGAGGTTTCCACCTTCATGACGAGCAAGCACCGCAGCCTCCCTCTCACTTAGACTGTCGATTCCCTCAAGGATATCCTCAGTATCCTCCATGTCGACTAGCTAAGTTCAATGAGACCTAACGTAGAAGAACGGGCTCTATGCGTGTTCGGTCCACGCTCACCGCACCATGCAGAGATTTCTGCTCTAACGGATGAACGAGCTCTACGGAATGCTTTCTGCGTAGACACGATATTGGTGGTTCACTAAGGAGACAGAAATTTGTCTAAGTCCTTGAAGGCATAGATTTGGCACACACAGAAAATTCACTAGAATAGAATGAAAATAGAATACAAGGGGTAAAGAACTACCCAACCACTGAACCTACCAAGAGAACGTTCTCACCTAGAACGTTTAGATAA